CTTTTGAAATTGACAAGTTTTATCAACGTTTCCTTCCCACGGATCTTGACAAAACAAGATAGTATCTAAACGAATTCCTGATTGCGAGTAAATCGATCTGAAAATCGTCTACATCGACTAGGAAAGACAATGCGCACTAACGACGTTATGTGAATAGAGCGGCATATTGCGGATCAATCGTGCACCCGCATGCTAGTGTTTAACATTCAAAATATGCCGAGAAAACCCAATCGGCAACCAGAAATGAACGCACAGCAGTTTTTCGTCTCCGTATACTACAGGAGATGCAAAGAGATAAGCAGCTTTGTCACTATCGTTTAGTGTAAAAAGTATTCTAAAAAAAAAAGTTCTACAGCAAAGCATGCTTCCCCATGCTTTTTGCTGATTCTGTATCTCTGTAGAACAACTTTTAGCGTGCTTTGCAAAATTTACAGGCATATAAATGTAAGAGTCGACTACATACAAATGACATGATAATTTGATGAGAAGTAGGGAGATGCGTAGTATAATGACGGAATAAAAAATGAGTTTCAAAAACTTGTAATGACTCAAGAACTGCAGGTCTGCCGTAATGAAAGCAAATTGAATGTGAATATATATGCAGATGTCCGTCAGCAAGTATCATCACAAGTGACTTCAGCGAAAATAAGTTTTCGAGTCAAGACAATATTATTGTAAGCATATTTAACAATAACTGGGAACAATATAATTAACAAAAAATAACTGGAGTTCTGATACATTGAGCAAAACATGGCACATGTTGGAAAAGACCTAGCCAGTACTTACAACCATTAGATAATGTCGACATCGTTTCATTGCGCAGATTTTAAGATACTGAAGTATTTCCGTAAAAACTATTATATCCGAAGAAAAAGCTAATCGTACTGCTCAGCCATAATTGAAAGCACAAGTGATGACCATCCAGTGAATGGATGAGCACCCTGTCCGTGACCCGTTTCATCGTTATAATTCTCCCATAAAAACCCTGTCCTTCGAAATTCCCGCGCAACGTTGGTAACCAAATTGTTCCGTAGATCCGAATAAATACCAAATGCCTCAAAACAAATGTGCATTTTCCATTTTTTTTTCTTAATCCATAAAGAGGAATTTTTGATGTAGATTATTATGCCTCTTAAAATACTAACTGAAACCACTAAGGAAAGAGTCAGATGTTTCGGCAAAAAAAAAGTGTAAATAGGTACCAATTCACGATTGGGTCCTTCGATTGCGGAATAGTGTTTCAGTGCAGCAAGCATTAAGTAATTGATGTTAATCCAAACACTGCCGCGCCAGTAAGGGGGATCATGTTCTGTGTTATGAGCTCTGTAGTACGGTGAAGATGGCGCAATTGAGCGTAAACCAAAATCAGACCATAATCCCTGTAAATCTACATATTGAATGTTAAATTTAATCGGAAATATAAAGAAAACGATAAAATTGACTGCCACAAACTTGGATACCTCATCACTATGCAAAGCAGTAAAGGCTAGCCATTCTCGAAAAAAAGACTCAAAAGATATTTTAGACTCTAGAAGGACTGTCGTATATTCGAGAATAAAAAGAAACGATTCAAATCATCCACAATCTAATTGGGACATAATAAATAATTGGGACGATTATTTGACAGTTAATATCGCCAGCCCTTTCCGATGTGACTGTGCAAGAGTTTAGCAAATGACACCAAGTTCCACCCAAATATTGAGAAATAGAGCCAAAAATTAGTTTAAACTTTGAAACTATGTAGTAATATACAGTTTACAAGTAAGCAGAATTAAACCAACCTCCGATTTAACATTCTCGAGAATTACTCGCAACTTATCGGAGTCATGAGGAAGAAATTTGAGCAATACAGGAAATAGTGAAACGTATCCAAAGGCATTTTCAATTAATTGTAGCTTTGGTGAAGTTTTCGCCACACGTTTCATTGGCTCATTGGCAATACTGTAGCTCGAACCACGCTTTACCTTCTCGTTATCAGATTTCTTTTCCAGTTTTACATTGTTGCTATGCAGACCGTAATCACAATACCTTTAAAGCAGTTTAACACTAATTTAAGAGATGCTTATGCTTAAGGTTTTTCTTTCCCCATTACGCCTCCAAAATGTGGTTTATAATCGAATTTTGGAAGAATATGTCTTTCCGGTAAAAGTAAGACGTAATATTTCACAGGAATTTTTCTGTGCACAGAGTTCATTTGCATAATGTAACACTAATAGTATAACACATAGTCATACAGCCATTTTGCACAGCAATCAAAAATTTGGTAATCTTGCATCAAAAGAAAATATTTATTCACATTGGCGTCTTCTAGCTTTTTCGTCAAGCAAATTAAATGGATTCAAGATGCACCTTTGTCTTGCCTTGCTCCAGTGAAGGTTATCAAAGCGATTAAAATCCATAAGGAAGTTATAGTCGGCTAAATACTTCTCTTCATTCTGCGAGTCTCCAGCAAGTTTGGCGAGCTTTGAAAGTACTCGAGCCGAAAGCGCCATCCAGCAACACAAATCAACGTGATATTCCTGCATACATGACTTTACTATTACCAACTTCGAGTAAGAGGTAACTGGAAGCTTCAGTTCCAATCATGACAACTGAAATTAACATGAGCCATCAAGTTTCCCGCAACATACATCATCGGTAGGATGTGTTGCACGCGGATAGTCGTCAAGACCGCTTGGAAGTGTTCGTGGATTCAGCTCGTCATTTGTCGTTGCATTCCTACCTCGCCATCGATATGTGCCATTCTTTTTCCCGTGCTGCGTGGAATTCAACCACTTATGCCAAAGACTTAACCGAGGGTAAAACTTCACCACTTCTTCCTGTTTCAAAAATGTTCAAGAATAGTTTTAATCATTTATTTTAAACCTGAAACTCTTTCGATTCAAATCATATTATAATTCGTGGCATTTTAAGTAAAATAAACATATCCATTAATTACATAGAAATTACTTACATAGCTGTGATCCAAAAATTTTTCAATTAAATAGAAAAGCATTGGCGGATTTGCCATGGTATCTCGTTGGACGATGAATTCGGCAGGTACACGCAATTCTGCTTCTTTCCCGAGTATCATTTCTCTAGGTATCCAACCGTCAACATTCATTGTATCCAACCAAGATGCGACTATCTGCATACGACATCATTAATTAGTATCACGAAGATGTTCTGCAACTTCCACCTTTTTTTGTGGTAATTATATCGGTCATTCGTTATGGCCAAGACACATCTGATCCGACATATTTGGGCATATTTGTTCTAGTCCAAGTCAGCAATATTACGAGAAAAAACAGTCTAATCAAAGGTCAAAAAATCCAAACTGTGAACCTATCACTTTCAGTGAAACAAAAAATTAGTTCATAACAAATCACTACGAGATATACCTCTAAAGATAAATCAGGATCAAATTTCATGAGAAGCAACTGATGAAATCCTTCATCCCATAAAAATCCACGAGGAAATACAGAACGTGAAGGACAAGTAGATAACAACGAGTGAGGACCATACAGCGACTGCTTTGATGAGTAGCTGCTTTGTACACGATTTGATCCATATGCATAGCCGATTGTACCTAACATGTTTGACAACGCAACTCTTCCAAGTTCTTGGTAGAAATCTGGATATCCCTAAATCTCAGTCACGATCACAAAACAACATAATTTCAGCTTATAACGTAAAAGCTTTATGGTCAGAGTTCTCCAATATCAAAAATAAGAAAGAGTATATTTCTTAAGAACTTTTAGCCGAATATGAAGCATCTGTACTACATTGTACATGAATTTACTTTCAAAATGATATTGTACCTTAGCTGACAAGCCATATACAGCTTCAAATTTGTCATTGAACTCCTTAGTTCTTTGTTCTAACAACTTTGAAAAGTCATCGCCTGAAGTTAAAATAAGTTATTATAAGCTACAATAACAATACTCGGCCTGTTTTATGCCACAGAGGTCCGTTAGTAAATGAACGGATTTGTGTGGCTATAGTTATTCTTATCGAAAATAAGTTATTTACGAGTGATTTTAGATGAAAATGTTATTGGAAATCGAACTAGAGATAAGCACAACTAGAGACAGGGCATGGGTCTAGAGAAATGAGGGGATTTAATAGCTCAGAAAAAATTTTCAATTCATGGCAAAGTTTCAAACAATTATATTTGTGTGTGACCTGCTAAAAAGTTCTTACCTCTTATGGCTTTTTTTTCTCCTACGGAAAAAGAGATTTCCGTTGATGAATTCGATAAAATATTTAGCTGCAGTACAATAAGGCGAGGTTCGTTTCCGGGTACACTGTCTTCGGAAAAAAAAGCACTAGGAAGGCGCAGTTTTCGATGGGAACGATCAACTAAGGTAGAAGACAAAATTATATCCTGAAATGTTTTTATAACTATATGATATATACACCGCAATTAAGATTAATGATTTTTTTAATTAATAAAAGGGACCGATGAACAGTACCAAATCTTAACATTTTTTGGAAGTAAAAATGCGCTGAAGATCTGTTGTATTACGCACGCCCATACACAGCAAATATATTAATTAAAACTTGAATGTTAACCTCCACAGTACTAACATCCGGAAGGCCGTTCGTTTTCAATGCAAGAAAAGATCTTGAAGTAAGATCTACTGTTGTATCTATGTTAACAGTGAAATTCCCAAGCATATCCGATTCTCCCGTGAAATAATTCAATTCACCATATTGATAAAACGAATGCAGTTTAGAATTATCATCCTAAATGAAACACATGCAGATGATCCAAGACTGGCCTCACACGTAGCATAAATAGTTTTCCTTTATGATAAATAGTTTTATGACAAATTTCAAAGCGTAAACCGGAAGCAAAACATATTCAAAACCAACAAGCTAGCCATTTACCATTTCCTTTTTTATCAAGGTAAGATAAATTGTTTTCAAATAAACTATTCACCAAATGATACCTGTAGAGCAAAATAGAATAAAAGAGCAAAATTAGAATCCACATTTGACGTGGTGGTTACACGTACTGTCCATACGGGTCCATCGTTTATCCAGTCTGTGAAAATGTCCAACGATTCGTCGTGAATTGTTTGTAGTCCGAATGAATGTCCGTCCGCTAATGTCCATGCATATTTTGTTACCCCGTTACCCTAAAATCAATTCACTACTTTTGAAAAGACAACATTTTAGTTCTGGTTAAGTTCCAAGTCATATAAAAATATCACCTGTTTACACCAATGCCGTATTCGCGGGAATTGACCCTCGATCCCTGGCTGCCGATACCACATCATTCCAAAAAGTGGCGACGTTTCGTATCGAGCTCGCAGTCCAAAATACAGATGGGACCGATAAGTGCCCCATATTCGCTAAATATTTCTAAATTTGCTCAAAAACAACTTGAAAATATAGCAATACTTCTCTGATCTGTGATTTTTCACGGGTGACCAAAGAATGACCGTCTGTCTAAATGTGAAGAGTTAATAAAGGGAACTCAAAGCACGAAGAGAGATTTGTGTCTATTGAATTTTCGAAATTTGACGGAAAACAAACCGGGTCAGGTTTTGTGCTAACAGTGGGAAGCTTAGACTTCGTGGAAATCTGATTTGGGAGATAATAATAGTTGACATAAACATACTGCACACCAACAGCAAGGACGACAACAACAACAGCAACAGTAACAAGCACTTTTCTTATGGTAAAATCTGTTGATTCCTTCTTCTTGCTTATCTTTGTCACTTGAGGAGGTGAAGAATTCCACGGCGATATCCCTTTTCGACTATCCATTCTTCTAAATGGACAATGATTTAAGCAAAAAGACATCGCAGTATCTACCCAACTTCATATTTCATTCCTGACTCATTGATCTAAGATTGTTCCGCAACAGTCATCCTCCATCGCCAATCTTATCTAAAACACACTCCAGGAAACAACAACTCCTCGCCGGTGGTGGTGGGATCAATAAGCTCCCGGAAGAGCAGATGACTTGGCTTCAAATTTCATTGCAATTTGACGGATCGTTCTGAAAATGTTCATCCAACTTTTTTCTTCCGCTATACAGATAGCGCTCAATGTCGAGCAAACCAAAGTTCCATTTGGGGGACTTTATGCTACTTTGATCAATTTTGAGATCAGGGATGATGGGGAACGTGGATTTACGAGCCATGCAAAAGCAACATCTTAAGCTAAACAGTCAAACCGAATTTTCAAATTCGGATTCCATTAATTTAACTGATTCGCTATTTCTTAATGTACAACATTTTATTCGAAATAGTATCGATGACATAGATCAGGAATCGATACCTCAGTAATTTTGTGATTATCGTTAACATTTCGTTGCGCATGGTGTAGGAATCGCGAACCGAATGGGCTGGAAGTAACAGGGTTGTCACTGCCACCATAGATTAACAGAGATTGGAAAGCCGTGACGAATTTACTCTCAGAATTACTTGTTGACTCTCTGAATCAAAGATCAATGTTGTTGGAATCGATTTCGATATAAATGCTGATAATAGAAATACACTATTTATGACCGAATTAAGACAAAAGTTCTCATTCATTATTGGGCAGGAACGCCTGTGTATTGCCAGCTGGTACAACTCTTGTAGAATTTTTAATTTGGGGGACTAAGAATAGTTGGAAATATTGCAGGAGGCAGTGTTTTGGATTAGACAGTCACGTATTTAAAATTACTTTTAATTCGGTAAGTTCCGCATTTTTGGGTTTAATCAGAAATGTTATTGTCAATATAAGCATTAAGTTGGACATAAAATAAATTTTACTTGTTAAAAAAGTGCGACATATTGAAAAATTGATTTTATCATATTATTCATGTTACAATTCCAGTTGTTCAAGTTGAAAATAACTCATATTTGAACGTTTCATCAGATGCAACAGATGTCTGAGGACGTGTTAGGAATTCCTTTCATTGTTGTAAAAGTGGATTTACGATCTTCATCTCCATTTATTCGTTTCGCTTTGCTTGCTGCAGTAATTTGTATTAAAAATTCTATGCAAATCGAACCCGGTGAGTATTGTTTGTATTGCTTACCTTTTTATTAGTGCAGTATTAGTTTCACGGTGCATTCTGGTGCGCCGCTAACATCATAGTTGCGAGGAAATTTCCTTCCTGCTCAGGTTTCGAATCATTTAATTTTTACTGCTGAAATCCTCGGAAAAATGGCTATTTAGGAAGTAGAGTTTGAAATGAAAATCTGATGTCAAAGAATCAGTGTTGCATTCCCAAATTGCACTTCATGTTTGCAACATGCATATTTTGTCGAACGTGTAATGGCACAAAAAGTCATTTCCTTCTTTCAAATTATTGTCGATAAGTTCATATTCTTTTATCTGCCCGACTAAGTAAGATTTCATAGAGTAGACTATGACTAACTAGAATTCAGTTATCTGTTCTTCATTTCAAAAGCAATAATTAGTTGTTTATAAATCTCATTACTTTACAGAAAGTTTATCATCGGGAACACTTCATTTGCTCAAAATGTGATAAATTACTGCGTTTTTCCTATCGTGATTAGACGGGAACACTTGTATGTTACAAACATTTGCCACATTCATTGATTGCGAGAAAATTTTGACGAAAACGGGCTACGCCTTGCCCACCACCAAAACCTGCTTCTTCAAGAAGCCAAAAGGAGACATCATTCTTGGAAGATCATGAAAACAATGGCAAACTGAAGGAATTACAATGTGATTCATTTGCATTTCAAAATAGAGAAACATATTCTGTTCCACGCAAAAATTCCGAAATTGTATATGAGGTGACGTGTTAATAGCTTGCAGTAATTAGTGTAAGTGATTGTACTTCAAAGTAAACGACATTGACCGACAATATATCCTGTTGTGAAATATATTCTGCTACATCACGAAAACCAAGGCGTAAAAATCTGTTGCAACAGTTACAACAGTTTTCACTCTTTCAACTGTCCGAAGTGATAATACTTCAGAAACACGAAGACCTACAGCAAGTAAAAGATGATTTCCGACTCAAAATGGTCACACGAGGAACCGGTTTGTCCGTTTATCCGGATTACCAGAATCCATTCCTTCTCGATGCTTCGCTGTGTATTCTTCTACTTTGTTTACGAAGACTTTGTTTCAGTTGTTTTTAGTAACCGAATTCTTGTGCATGTACGAAAGTCTTGGCAAAACTTTTCATTTTATTTCCACCATCACTTTTTTAACATTTTCTGGTAAAGTGCAACCACTGTTGAAGAATTGAATGATTATGGAATTGCTTGAATTCATCCGAAGTGAATCGGCATATATAAATACAAACATTAAAAAAGTAGTTTGAAGAAAAAAGTAATTAAAAAAAGTTTAGAAAAAGTAATTACATATAAACATTAAAAAAGTAATGCTGCGTATGCTAAAAACATTAGAATTAGGTTCTTCAGTTTGTTGTTTGTTTGTTTATGAAGATTTTGTTTCAATAGTTTGTAATAACCGAATTCTTGTGCATGTACGAAAGTCTTAGCAGAACTTTTCATTTTATTTCCATCATTGCTTTTTTAACATTTTTTGGTAAAGTACAACCACTGTTTGAAGAATTACACAAGTGATTGTGGTAGCTGCTTGAATTCATCAGAAGTGAATCAGCATAGTACTGTTGTCAGACTGGATTGTATGATCCCTTTCATTAGGTTCGGAAATATTCAAAAAAGTGCGAAAGTAAAAACACAACTTTATGTGCCTTGTCAAAGATGTCATTGTAAGGCCCATTTTTTATCTCAGTTTTATTTTCGACATTTTATTAATGTATAAGTACCCTTCAAATTCTACATGGAATCGTCTTAAATCAAGACTTCCGTCTTTATCTCCTCCAAACCTTCCGAGCGTAATGTTGTCACCCACAGAAGTTTCCAATCTCCCTTCTTCTGATAACGTGCAGTGGTGAAGAACCTAATTCAAATGTTTTTAATATACGCAGAATTACTTTTTCTAATGTTTATATGTAATTTCTTCTTACCATAAGTTAAGATACTGGACGAATGGCCGGAATTTCAATTTTTTCCAATTCAGCAATTGGCAATTGTCAGTTCGAAGGAAAAATAATAGGTTGTTACAGCAGCACAATTTTTAAATAGTTCTGGTCGTCATTCATGATTTTATTTGCTGTCGTATGAAGCTTCTTTAAAGGAAGGAACTAGTGGTGTGAAGGGTAGTTCTTGTGATGCAGTAAAGAATTTATAAGTGAGTTTTCTGATTTATCAGCTTACTTAAATTAAATTCCTGTTCGTCACTAACTGTTACTTGTCGGATCCATTTCACTGAGGAGAACTATGGTAGTTTGTCTTAGAATAGTATCGGCGAAATTCCGGATGTTTTGGATAAACGACTAGATTTAGCAGAAATAGAAAGGAAAGCTTTGGCGAAAGAACCGTTTGATGTTTTGAAACAAAATTAGGCTCTGCTTTGTTCACAAGCAGGGTGTTGCTTGTTCACCTTTTAATACAGTTACTTCTGGGTGTGAAGTTGTATTTTAATGCGTTTGACATACACTTCCTTGTCTGTTCGAAAAATTTTCACTTTCTACTTACTGGACATTGTTTATCCATAGATACTTCGTGATTTCAGACACTTTAGAAAAGACGACTGCGTTCCCCAGTAGATGAACATTTGAAAAGCATTATAGCTTGCTTCGTCAATAGATCATCGGCATAGAAAAGTTAATCCCGCTGAAATATTTTTTTTTGCTGATATCAGACCATAATTTCTTACATCATTTTAAAAGTCTTGCAGTCGCAGCATGTTTTTTTGTTTGTTAATCGTCAGGTATCCCTAAGAATCGTCAAGTACAAATTGAAAATTTTATTACTGGTAAATTTAAGGTGAATGGAGGAATTCGTGGATCAAATTTTTACTGAGCTGGAATTGCAGCATCTGATTAAAATTGAACAAGGTTAGATCCGTAAAATTATAAAAAAAAATAAAAACAAGGATTTAAAAAAAGTAAAGAAACGAGGAAAAGAAAATAAAAACAAGAATTGGGATTTGGCATTGTCATAAGACTTCGTTTAAATTCATATCTTTAGCCAAAGTTTCATACATTTTATTGTCGAATCATGTCACTCTATCACTTTATTTACGAATATTTCCTTTTGATTAGCTATAAATGATAAATGTCTGGAAAATATAATTCAAGGAAGAGTTCGTGCGAAGTCGAGCGTGAGGCTAAACTTTTGGTGCTTTTGGTGGACATAATCGACCAACAGAGCTTACTAGTTGGGTCCAAATTAATGGAATCTGATTTGGTGATCAAAAGTGAAGGTCAGTTTCGCACAATTTTGGCTTCACGTCCTTTACTTCCAGTTCCCTCTCTTTTTTATTCAATTGAATTCATGTTTCAAATTATGTTTTTGATAGTTCTAACTGATAAATTTATTGTTTCTGTAGTTATCCGCAGTACCGTGCTGCATAAATGCCTGCATACTGTAAAACTCTCAGTGATTATTTGCAAATGTACGAACTTCCACTTTCTGTTTTTGTTTTTTAGGCACATGAATGAATGTAATAAAATTAACAAAACGAATCAGAACACGTTTGAAAAAACTGGAAGAAAAGTTATCCAGGCAGGGCAAATGTGTCAAAATAAGCAATGAAGACAATGCTCCTTTCAGAATACAAAGACATTTCAGTAACGGTTAATTGCATTGTGGTTTTGTTTGTATAGAAACTTCATTTATATGCTTTGCTTCATCCGCTTCTTGCATTTCTTTTATGGTCTTTTACTTAAACATTTCGAAGAAATGCTGGACATAACATTTTGCATGTTTTGGACAAAATCTTCCTTTTGATATTTTGAAGCTAATAGACATTTTTCTTTTGTGCCCTTTTTGGTTTTGTCTTTCGACTTCTTCTGCGTTTGTGTTTCTGTCGTCAGTGCACTTATTTTCTACGTGTACACATTTATCAGTAAAAAAGTTTATTCAGGTTATTGTTTGTTTGTCTGATTTCTCCCAGTTCCGTTTTTTTTTTTTTTTTTTTTATTGAGAATTAAAATGTTACTTATATCTGATGCTCACTTATTCATTGATTTCGCTCGTGTCTTTCGTATAAATGTAACATTTTTGCTTAAATTATTTGCAAAATGCGGAAGAAGTCTTGAGCGATTCTAAGAATGATCTTCAAAAGATCAGGTTTTCTTGGCTAAACTACAATCGCTGCGTTTCTTCTTTGTTTGTTTTTTTTTTTTCGAACAAATGGAAGTTTTAAGCCAGAGGTGTGTGACACAAGGATGTATGTGAATGTGTACGAAAAAGGAGCGAAATTAAACGTTTTTCTTATAAAGAAACATGATAATGTATAAACGAGATTGTAGATAAAGCAGTCAGTGACAATGCTTGCTTCAACCATGCTTGCCTGATTCTAGCCTATCTGTTATGTTATCATCGGTAGTGGAACAAGTTGATTCTGAGGAACAGGGGCATGAAATTTTGCATAAGTTGAGAATAATTGACCCATCAGACAACTACCTCTCGGGGAGGATGTTGGAGTTTGTAATGAAGATTTCTATTGAAAGCGGATTAAGTCTATAAGGGAGAAAGGAGTCCGGAAGCAAGAAGACAAGAAAGAAGATGGGATGTGAGTAACGATGGTATAACAACTATGTAGAAAAGATCGGAGGGGAGCGGGGAGAGGGAGGGGAAGGAGGGAGAAATGCGATCATGTTTCGAACATCAGTGAAGTCACTGGGACGCGTTTTATATTGGCATTGATGGCTGACTCGGCAACAAAACACTTTTATTTCGTATTATACTAAATAAATACATGGCAATCGGAATTTCTGGTGTTGACATTGAACATAACAAATTTTCGAATTGAGTGCAGAGAAGTTCACAGCTGGATGAGATCAATGAGATAGGTACGCTTGAATCGCACTTCAGTATCTTGCGACTCGCAACTTGCAGTAACAACTTGAATTAGAAAGAAAATGCAGAAACTTGCAAAAAAATGTAAGTTAACGTTGTTTTTCCAATAAACGAATAATCGATACAAAGAATTAAATATTTTACAAACAACTGAATATTTGAAACATCATTTCGTGCCAACTCCAAACTCTCCTCCTGCAATATTTGAAAACATGCACAGTTGGTATCACTTCCCTTAGTATTATTGCTTTCTCCTATTTCTCATACAGAAAATATGCAATGCAAAGTCCAGCTTTTGCCAACTTCTCATAAGCATTCTGAATTCAGTTCCTTCAATTCAACAACGTCAATGTGTTGTCGCATTGTATTTAATGGCAACCTTGGTGATTATCGTTATTGTAGTTCTTGACCATTTCAAAATAAAATGAAGACACATTAACTTTTAATCATTAAATCAAAAAAAGTTTGAAGTGGGGAGCGATCTCGAGACTAAGGCTTGAATTAAAAAGAAACGAATTCATTTGCAAACTACTTTTTTCCAACGATTTAAGATAAGGTAACAACAATTTCAGCAGCGCTTCTTGGCTTCTAGATCTTGCAGAAACTCAGGAAAAGCAAATCAGAATATCAAAATAGTAATAAAAGCTTTGTACGCCACAAAGTGTTCGTTATATTTCACAGAGCAGGAGAGTAATGAGTCTAAATGCAAAAATTTGTCAAAATCGTCGCCTTGCTGGACATTGACCTTTCTTCTCTTTTTTGGAAAAACGCATAATTTTCTCCAAATCTCCATCGTTCCATTCCAGTACAACTGTTCTTGTGCCAAAAACAATTCCTGGTCGACTTATATCATTGGTATCATTCCGACCTGAAAAGATTTAATCACTTTGGAAACAGTTCAGCACTTTGTAATTATTAAAGAAAACCAGAGATTAACAAAATTTTCCCTGAAATAAATCAGTCCAAAGCAACGGAGTTAATAATTTTTGCCGGCACTTCATTCATCCACACTTTCACTTTCCATAATTAAATATTTAAAGATGACACACCAAGTATGAGATATTTTTTCCCAATTCGTATTTTGGGACATCTGCAAGCAATGCGTTTACCAGATATCCATAATGACTGTTCACCGCGGCGTAAACGAATTCCAGCATCACGCTTGTATATTGCCAGTACCATCAACTGATACTTACTCCATCCATCCACACTTTCACGCTTTGTTACTTGTACTTCGACTGCTGAATAGAAGTTCATGTTATGCTAATATTACCAGAAAGATGACTGTTAAAATTCCAGAATTCTTGAGAAACGCTTTTCTTCATATCAATTAAATGCAAAAACAAAAATCAAATTGGAAATTTTACCGTAATCTCTTCTGCAGTACTTTTTCTGCGTTAATCGTTTCGGTACGGCTCTACATTTCGGACATTTGGCTAAAAACTGTTTGCAGTAACTCAAAGAGAACGATTTTTGACACTACCGAAAATTGAATTTTGAAAAATTGGCCTTCAAACAATCTTACCATCATGAATTATTGTCGACCCACTCACAGGAATACCTGAAATTTCGTTGAGGTTTACTCAGTGTTGCGGAAAAGGAAGAATCAGTTTCAGCTCCTTAGAAGCTTAATTAATTTAAAAAGTAAATTCTGCAATTAGATGTTTCAAGTTTACAAAACTCTCAACTAAAAAACCTCGTCACTTAGTTAACCCAATTAACTTAATTTATTTTATCACTCCTGTAACCGCTAATCCCCTCAGTCCATTTATCCACAATACAAACTTGGCATCCATTTTTGTTGCGCACCATTGGAATGCAATTATCAATTTCTGCTAAATTTATGATGAAAAATGAATAAATACAACAACGATGATATGTTGCTCTGTTTATAAGTTGCTTTTACAAGTTTAAAAAAAAGTTGAAGGAAACAAAAGTTCAATTTCCCTATTCATTGCAGAATTATCCTTACTTGTGCATTGTCTTTAAGTGAAATGCTGATGAGCTCAGTGCATAGGGTGACGATGGGGAACGAAAGGAAACTGGGGGTACTTGATCCTGTCATAAAATGCAGGCCATAAAAGGGGAAAGATGAGACAGTAGAGTATTGCTGGAAAAAAGTGAAATAATGTGTGAGAAGGAAAAGGAACCCCATTTTTGAATATAAATCAGGTTCGCTGCATGAGTTTTTGGTGTTGAGTGACATATTCAACTGCATGGAATTAGATCGGATAGGAACAAATTATGGTTTGAGATTCCAACCCTTTCTCCTCTTGGTTATAAGAATAATACTCTGCGAGACGATCCCGTACCATCTTTCAACAGCTGATCCTTTTCCTATTTCTCTTCCTTCATTTCCGAATTTATCCTTCAACTGATCAGCTCATCACAGCAATTTATCAGAATGCATTTATTGGCACAATGCCTCCTTCTGGTATCGTATTACTTTATCCCTGAGATATTTTGTCACCCCTTAGCTACTTACATAAATATTCTTCATTTGAATTGCACCAAAAATAGATAGAAATCTCAGTAGTAGGAATGCTCAGTGATAAATTAAAACTGTCTGTTGACATCCCATCATTTGCATGCTTCCTCAAAAGAAAACCCGAAGATAGCTGATGAAATATTTGTTTCACTTTTCCCCAGTGTAATGAGAATTTTGAAATGAAAGCTCAAGCAGTAATAGGCAAATATCGCTATTGCAACAGCCAGTAATATAACTTGGCTTACGAATGCATGGATGGAGTGGTGAACGGCTCTGCTGATATCCCTTCGAACATTGATTGCAGGTCAAACCGGTGACACCATCCTTGCAAATGCATTGTCCACTGCTTTGATTACAGCTTCGTGAAAGCGAACCAACAGGGTGACAATTGCATGCTGCAAATTCCGAAATGAAAATTCACTTCCATTTACTTAGTTCATTTGTCGATTACACGTTGACTGAATTGGCCTAAGGTAATATCCATTTATATGTTCACCGACATTTAAGTTAAAGGCTGTATCAAATTCATTCTTTCAGAATTTTCAGTTCTTTTTCTATCTGTTCTGGTTAACTTTTTGCTTGCAGCCTACAAGCTGATGAAAACCACAATATGTAAAACCTGCAATGGATCCCCAAATGTGTATAAAATTTGGACGTAATTACGAATTTCAACATATGTTTAATAAAAGATATTACAGCATAAAAAGGTGTAAGGTCAGATGTTATCGTTCAACAAGTTAAGCAATTTGTCTAGCTTTGATGGCAACATCATTTAGCTCAACAGTTCTGAGCATCCGACAGCTGCTATCATTTAACTAATTATCTATAATGATTAATGGAGAAGAAACTAGCACGCGCACATCACATTTCCATAATTGTTTCAAATAATATATTTTACAGGCCACAAAGTTGACGTTTTTTGCATATCATTATAAAATGTAGCCATCTTACAGACTGTTCATCCATTCACTAGTCTGCTTCTATTAAGGGTGAAAGAGAGTTCTTGAATTAAAAACCCATAAGTAGAACGTGTGGGAAACTGAATTACTAATGCAGTTAACTAATATTGGCTAGCCATAAATAAGATACTTAAAGGTCGATCATGGATGTAAGAAAGAAATGAACGAGAATTTGCATACTGAAAATAACACATGCATTGCTCATTGTTAAGACTCGTTTTCACATGAACGTAGTTTGTTCCCCATTTCAAAACTAAATAATGAAATTGTCACCATCTTTCGATCTATTCAACAAACTCCCATCAAGAAAATATAGCTTTACGAGAAAAGGAGAGAAATGAGGAAGATATCATCTCATTCATTCCAGATTCATTTATGATGAAACAGTTCAAAACCTGTCCTTTTTACACATTCCTACTTGTAATTTTTTCCAGTAAATGCAAAAGAGGTTTTCAGTTTCCTTTAACCATAATGTTTAGTGTTTATCACAAGAGGAAGGAACATCCCTTAACTAAGCAGTGTTTATATTTTAGATTACTGCATGAAAGCACAGTAGTAGAATATACAAGCTTCCTTCGAAATTAAAATTTGAGAAAAGATGACAAAGATTTTGCAAGACAGAAGATGACTCCTTGATAGGATATAATAAATATCGTGACTCGATTCAATTTAAAGATAACACGTAAAATGATAAAACATTGACTGGTGGCAATTTTTGGCAATTTCCGTTGTCAACGACCGGTACGGAAATTGAATGCCAATTTTAGATTGACCGGAACTCTTTGTGATTCTTTCATTCCCTATATTATCTCCTTACATTTCCAAATGCTTAAGACCACTCCTTTTGCTGGATTGTTGAGGCTGAATTAATGAACGCTCATTTCTTTACGAAGATAAAATGAAATTGAGTTATCTTGCTTCGATAAAATGGAAAAAGTAGACGGAAGAAAGAAAATGAATGGTTCTTTTACTTATTTATACAAGGGAATGCTCCAAGCCTTAATTCAATGAGAATGAGCAATAGAACGAGAGAGTAAACGAAGATTTTACTATCCATAATGCAAACTTCTTGCTTAGACTTTGAGGTTGTCAATTTACCGCTCAAATGAAAGCAATTATTTTTTGCTCAATTGAAATTAATAAATTTAATGAATTAATTTGAGTTTGTAAGATTTCTATCACCAGCTTTAACAAAATATTTTGTCATAATTTGTAATTTTGTTATTTTTGTCACTGAAAAACATAAAAGGTACCTTTACACGCTTTCCGATGTGTTATTGATTTTGTCAGATCTCGAAAATATCCTGGTTTACAATAATGGCAATTACGGCCGGCTGTATTATGTCTGCAGTTAATACAGACACCGCCACTCTTGTTACCACTCAGCCTATACAGTTCCATGTTAAATCGACATCGCTTGGCATGTAGGTTACAATTGCAAGCTGAAATTTGAACTTCACAGTTTAAATTTGCAACAACCAAATAATGGCACATAAAAGAATAGATTTAAGGGACAAAAAACTTCTCCCACAATATCTTCATTTGCAAAATTGTCGAGTTTTCTCAAAAATTTTTAGCTTTAGACTTACTCATTTGTAGTTTATATTGAAAGATCCGGAAATCATATTAGTCTATGATGTTTGAGTAAAAAAACCCTTAATGATGTATTGCTTATTTAATAATATTCCGTAAAAGTCAGGACGAGAAATTATGAGAATTATATCTTTGTTGATTTATTTGCTTCAAAATATGCAAATAGCAAGAGCAGATGTTTGTTTCAAAATATGTTGAGAGAGTCAGTATGCTAATTTTTTTAATTGTGAAAATTGCTTGTGGTCAAAGGTCAACATGTGAAAATATCCATGGGGAAATGAATGGTTTTCCTCAAAGAAACAGAATAGTAGTAGCACTCATAATTTTTTGTTGAAAATATTGTCATAGTTTTTTCTTTGTACGACCTTTATCAGTCTTCAAATTGGAATCAAAGCTTGGAATTAAAGCTCCTATTTCTATTTTTCCGGTATTTTTCTTCCGCTATCTGTTGCTGGCCTACAAAAACAATACAGTATATATTATATTGAGAGACCCAGTATGCTAATTTAGTTTATATCGAAGAACTGGAAATCATATTAGTCTTTGATCTTTGGGTAAAAAAAACCTTATTGAATAACATTCCGTAAAAGTCAGGACGAGACTATGTTACCACATATTCACATAATTATTTGGCATTGCGAATTGCAGATTTTTGTATGAAATAAAAAGAAAAAGAGAAAAAAGTAAAATATACATGAAATTTCACGAATTTCTACAAGATTTCTTATTCTGGTGTTGGTTGTTAGTAATATCAAGTTTCAGTTTATTTAGGTTTTTAATTTAATAATTTTGCTACGACATGATTGTGAAACAGCGCTCCCAAATGATGGAGAGCTATAATTATTAAGCCTTATAAAAACAAGTTTTTTCTCTGATTCAAAGCTAAGGGTTGAAATTCGAGCTTGCTGAGAAAACAGGTAAGTAAGACTTTTGCAAGAAAACAGATAAGTAAAGAAAACTCTCTGGACTATTTTGAAATTGAAGAAATATCTAAACGTAATACTACAAGTTTTGTTCATTACTTTTTTTTTTTTTTCCATTTGAAAATGATATTTCCAAAGCGATTTGATAATAACTTCTTTGTGGCTTCAGAAATCACAAAAAAAGAAAAAAAACTGCAAATTTTTTAGATTGGATTTTTGCGAGCATAATTCTTTTGAAAGAAACAGATAGGAGAAAAAGGTAACGATGATTGTACCGCCGATGACCATCCCCAAAAAGATATTGTTTTTAGAAGTGGCATTAGTATAAGCATTCCACAAGCATCATCTTAGCCCGCTACTTGTCCTCTTCCTGAAGGACCGCAATAACACACAAAAATGCCGCCCAATTATTCAATTATAAGTGTGCTATCGAATTAAGCGACTTGAAGATTCTGTTTCGCTGTAACGATGTAAGAGTAATCTTATTAACAGCTAGACAGAAACCAGCAGGAAAATAGATTTCAACTTATCCTCAATACAAATGTTACGATATTGTCAATAAAGTGCAGAAAACATTTCGGAATCCATAATTATGGCAAAACCTATTCTTGATTTTTGAAACTTTTAATCGAATAAATCTTTCAATTGCAAGCATTGGTTTTGCAATGGAAAGATTTGTTCAGTTTGATGCAGATAATATGAAGTTTTTTTAGTTAATAAAGACTTGAAAATTTCGATTGAACAGAAGATTTAAATTATTTTGGTAATTTTTGGACTCGGAAATCTTTTCCATAAATTTGAATTTTTCCCAGTCCTAGTTTCGTTAAAATTAAATTTTAAAAAATGCTCGTATCTTCGCCGTCTCTAAAAACGTTTTACAAAATCTTGTTAAAGAAGTGCCAGTTGTTGCCTCCTCAGAAAAAAACTAAAGAAATGATTTACCGACGCAGTGGTTGGCATTTTCCGAGGTAGCGCGGCCCCACGGGCGGTCCAAATGAAATGTCTTGCAGCGCTCGCAATCGGCACCAGCTGTGTTGTGCTTACAGTCACAAATGTAATTGCCTGTTTTATCCAATATGCACCTTGAAAACAACTTACACTATGTAGATATTTTCTTGAATTGAGCTTAAATCTTTAATTGGAAATTTCCAATTCAATTACATTTTAGACTCTAAAAAGTTAGTTAATGGTTTCTGAAACAATAGATTATAAATTAATTTCAGTCTGTTTTTGAATCATTTGCACTGATCAAACCTGGAAGCATGACCGTTACACTTGCAACGACCGCCGACAGCTAGCTCACCCACTGAATAATAATAGCGCTGCTTGAGCTGATCCATATCAGTTATGTTCACTCCCATTTCATTCGTTAGGCCATATAATTCAGCCTTAAATTTAACTTTTACGATGAACCAGTTAGAAATGACAACTGAAATGAGGAATTCTTATAGGAAATTTGGACAAAAGTCCATGATTATGGTGGATGATAAGTATTCAAATATAATGTTAACCTTTATTCTTTGCTTTTTTAGCTCATTCAATTCCTTCTTTAGCACAGAAGGAGCGGGAAGTTTTGTATAAATGGATAGGTTAAACTTAGCTAAGCACTAAGAAAACTTTCATTTACAACTGAGCATATAGAAATATTCGCACATTACCATAAAGAAAATGAAAATTGTTGTTACCTGATCAGGACTGAGTCGATTAAAAATAATACGAATATCAGTAGCAGTAACCCAATCTTGCAGTACAGGTGAGTGTTCAAATTCAAATGCTGATGGGCGACCTTCCAACGTTGCGAACGCTACTCGGTTCGGCACTGAGGTCAATGCATGAGTGTTGGTACATAATGCTTCCTGTATAATTTAATAAATGAATACTTGAGTGCATGATCAAATAAATCAGCATGATAATTAATATTGGCAATTAACAGACTAACAGCGATAAAGCTAGATAGTGCAAATATTAAACATTATATTTTTATATGTCTATTGAAATTTAACTTAGTACCTGTTCATTGTGTTTGCTAATTTTAATGTTTGGATTGCGATCGTAGATTTTTTGACACTCTGTTGAGTAAAACTGGAATGGTATCCAAGTTTTCCCGAAATCTACTGATTTGTAAAAGGCCATAGAATCAGCGAGACGATTGCAAAATTGCACTGATATATAGGTTAGCTCGTACTTTTTGCCCAGTGATAAAGTTAACGTCACATTGTGTGGATAATCAGTACTTGGTTCTGACATCCAACAGGTCACATTTTGTAAATTATTCAAATCTGTTAAATGAGAAGCTGGATGAGATCGAGTTTTGCTGGATGCATCGCAAATATTACACACTTCTTCCATTACTCCCATTGTGTTTTCATGGAGTGAACAATATCTGAACAATGCTATCATTCTTACTATTTAATTTATTTATTTGATGAACTTTATGAAAAGCAATTTTTCCCCACTAATTTTGTCAAATTTATATAAAGTCGTAAGTTTTTGTGAACATTTGAGCTTAAAAAAAATAAATATGAGAGTAGAAATTTTGCTATTACCAAGAGTACATTCTGAGTGGCTTAGGACTCATCTATCATGATCTGACCAATTAATAATTATACAGTAGTGTGAAAGACGCATTTTGTTTTGCTTGTGAAATCATATTTCGTCTTCAAAAACAAAAGAAAAAGGAAAAAGAAAAGATCGTATTGACCAAGATAACCTAAAAATTAGGGACTCTTCAAAATTTCAAAATTCTACAATTTATTCGCTTTGAAAAGTGTATCTTTTGTTATATTAGAAGGATTATAAACAACGTAGTGGAACTATGCACATTATTTGAAACTGATTCTTTGACTTAAACTTTTTTAGGGAAAAACAAATTTACTGTTCAACATAAAAATCCATTACGAATAAAATTTTTCTGGTCTATTTATAGCTCGAAATAAAGATTTGGAAAATAACTGTAGAGAGAGAAATTGATAATTAACGCAAACCAGGATTAACACCGTTATAATCTAGGTATCCAGAGACAGAGGAGAGCAACGCACATTTGATCCCCTTTCTATTATATCTATTATAAAAGTGTCATCAGGAAACTAACTGCTCTCGTCATTGTCCTCAACTCAACAATCTCTTCCCTGTTTTTATATGACAGAATTACCATACGATACCATTGTTTTATTCTCATACTAAGCAATATTACAAACAAGTTCCCAAGAGCCTATCGTCCTTTCCAGCATTAGACTTTGCATAAAGACGCTGTAGTTAGCTAATTGATTTGTTTTAAAAGGATTTATTCTTAATAAATGGCAAATAAACTAATTAGTTGATTTATTCAATATTTATTGTAATATCTATCGTTATTCAGCATTGAATTTGAACAGAATCTTCTACAGTTTGACAAATTTTACTTAAATTTTGACAAATTGAATTGCCGAAGTTTTTTCAATCGAAAATATTGTTATTTTTTAAAGGTAAAATAAAAACGGAACTTGATAAGCCACAGAGAAAACGAAAAATTCTTTTTTTTTTCTCCAGAAATTTCATTTTTTAAAGAAAGTCACCATTTTCTCTTATTATTATTCTTCTGAAATTTCTATTTTCCACACAATTTTTTCAAACAAATCTATCTTATTTAGTATGGACTTCAATAGTGTTTGCATTCAATAAAATGTAGGATCAAAAACAATTCTTCAAATTTTTTGTCTAACAATTTTAATTCATTCCAGAACTTGGAAGTTGAGTTGCCATTCAGAATATTCGTTTGCTGTAGTGGTCAAAGGTCATAGGATCCTCCCAAAGTGTGAAGTTATATAGCTGATTCACAGGATACAAATGAGATGTCAAATCCATTTACACATCTCATAAATGTGATTTTTTTAAAATTCTATTTCCGTAATAGCTTTTCGCAATTAACGGCTACTTCTGCAACTATTTACATAAGCTTTCCACGGGCTAGATTAAAAAATGGATCTTAAATTACATTTTGAGGTGACCTAATGTCCAAAAAAGTTTTGTATTTAAATTAATTTTCTAGCACTTCCTTTTTTTAAATAAATTCAGAAAAAATTCTGAGTTGGACGCGATTTCATGAAAAATGAGCGTTAAACAGTACTTATAACTAACTAACGGTACTAACTTCACCTTCTGCTCACATTTATATGCAGAATACTTTTTGCTAGTATTTAAATTTGCACTTAAAATTCCCATTGCACTGAATCGCCGTTTACAAACCAATTCTTAAAATAATTAAAAATTTGGGACTCTTATAATATTCAGAAGCTATGATATAAAACTAATAGATTAGAGGTGGAAACAAACTGTGTAACGATCATTTCCAGCTTAGAAACGTTTGCATGAAATTGCTGAGATTAAGTATTTACGAGTTCTGTTGTTGTTTATTGGTGATGTGTAATACATTTCATGTATAAAAGTCAAGTGTAGATTGAACTCTCATTGTCACACATACTGTTTCAGAAGCATCACTTAAGATGAGTGATCAGAATAAAAATTGATAGTTTTTAACGAAGGAAGGAATCTTAAACAAAATTGATATAAGTAGATTTAATGAGTACTGAATGCAATAAACTAAATTGACATTACTAACTTCTGGATAACTTCAATTTATAAGTTTTATAACTTTATACATCTTTATTCGATTTTGTCTTTAAAGCTAAAATTATCAGTGCACTTTGGAAGATCACAAATCATAATGAGTAGAAAGTTTCGTGGTATTTTTTTAAATGGAAAATTGAATAAAAAATTAACAAAAATATATGACTCACCTCGATGGTCCGGAGTGTCCACATGTGTTGGATGCAGTGACCGGTTTGCCGAATGCAGCATTGATGAAATCCGGAACACAACGTATGGGGCGCCCAACATTATCATAGCAGGGGTCATATTCCGGTTCCCGAAGTGAAAACTGTGAGAAATAAGCAGCCCAAATATGATATATCCGCAGTAAAAGAACAATTGCGAAGGTTAATAGAGAATACATTTCAGCGTAAATGTCATGTAGGCCACAAATGCGCGTAATTTGCGTAACTTCTTGCCAATTTTAGTTGAATTGAATAACAGTATGATAATTACGATAACATTTTTGACGACGTTACGGATAGAGTGGACTTTTGGGCTTCTATGAATGGATCCTTAAGTGGAAGAGTAATAATAGGCCTAGCGGTCGGGAAGTGAACAGAAAATTACAGCAGATGTAGCAACATTCACCAGAAAATATGCGCAAAGGATCGGATGGGCGTGGCAGTTCACAGTTTCTAGTTGGCGCTACGATGGAAGAAGAGAAAGTGAGAAGACCGTTACCGAATGAATTCATTTCAATTCTTTTCAACCCCACCCATCCATCTACCTCCTCTTCTTCCTGCCTAACCAAATTTTCTTGCTCCTGTTTGAAACTAATTAGCTAATCTGAAGCTGCATGGATACGGTAGTATCGTGTTACCTATTTGTATTCTGTACTTGATGATCGTTGCATAAGTAATCATTCTTGAAACTGCAAATCACAACAGATTATGGTTTGATCAGTTTTGAAATTCACTTTTGAAATAAGAGGTATTCTATGTATGCTAATCAATCATTACGGTGGTACAGTTATGAGATTAATAATGATAATGGTCATGAGGTGATGAGAATGAGAAAGTGGAGATATATAAAGTCAGTTTGTTCTCAACGGTACAGTATCTATCTGGTATTTCCTCTGATATTTCTAACGAAATTTCATTTCAAAGTGATGTGTGTCAGCATAAGTAGTGAAATGCATAAATTATCAAAACACAACAAATTTGTCCATCGGTACTTCGGGAATAGAGATGATTTACCCTAATGTTTGTTCCTCTCATTAGTCGCCAAATCTGCAATAAGCAAGTTAAATAAAAAATGATTCGTTGTTTCTCATGTTGGGAAGATCCGATGCGTACAAATATACCAACCTTATTTGAGACAGCACGACTACAATCGAAATGAGTAGCAAAGGTTTCATTAAGTTAAGACTAGGATAAGCTAGCTTAGACTAGCCTGCTTGACGATTTAATGATTAACTTAATGAATATCACAAGGGATTCAATTCTCTTCCTGTCAATAATATTGGTCAAGAGCATTTCCGTCTGTAGCATTGTTATCCAGAAACGCAGCGCAATTTGAATAGTTGGATGGTAGTGGTAATTCCGCTGTTATACTTGCACTGGCATGATCATCAGATGTTTTTACTGAAAAAACTGATCTTGATTTATTAAAACTATGTCTGCCAGTATAGTTTTAATAAGTCAAGATTGCAAGTTTCAAAAACGTACAGCATTGGTATATAATTTAAGAGATATTCTGCTGCTCTGAATTTGAAACAGTGATAAAATTGAAAATTAAGCCACTGTTTAAAATGATTTACTTGTAAACGTCAGAAATGAAATCGCCGATAATTGAGTCAATGGATGAATTTAAAAGTAGTTGGTTAAACGATCGATATCTGAGTCGCTTTCAGCAGATTAGCACTTCATTGTGCCCGCAATACCGCATCACCAGGAAATGCAATAAACCTGGCAATAGCGCAATTGATATTCAGTCGAGCCGTTCTGGTGATTATGATGTCAGAAATAATTTAATATATTCTAAAATTCCTCCCTAGTCTTTAAGTTTTTCCAATATGATGTAAAGGACTATTGGAAACATCATTTCCTATCTTTAATTCCGTTCATATCTTGAGCAGAATCCTTCCCTTCATCTTTGGCGGTTTTTTTTCTTTTTTTGTTTTAAATGGAAACATACGAAAGTGAATTAAGATTTCCACTTTCCATTATTCTAAAAATTTTCCAGAAACATACAAAAAAACTATTTGTCTTCCAAAATTCGTGAACTAAATTTATTAAAATATTGTTCGGAAACGAATGTTTTTAGTAAAAATAATCAATTTTGCAAAGTAATTCCTTCCAACATCCTTATCTGTTCTTGCTACATCCAGAAACCTTTTACTTGGATAGAATGGCTTTCTCAGAAGTTTCCTCACCATACTGACATTTCCGCAATTCAAACTACATTGTGGAAACCTCTTCCAACCAATACCAACAATTTAGTCATTCAGTTTCAAGATGAATTAGTATTCTATGCCAGAATTTCGGAAAACCGCATACGTTTCGGAATCCCGTAGGTAAAAGTAATGTGTATAAATTTGTTTTCGAATTATGCAGTTAACTTTACTTGAAGGATTTGATGTACGAAATAATCTAACAAAGGCATTACATCCTCATCAAGTCTTTCGGCCATATCACTTTCACACATTTCCAATTGGTGAAGTTTCCTCACTGAAATACAGATAATAAGCAGTATTGTAAAAAATTTTTTTCCTTATTAGCAGTACTTTTAAAAATTGACTAAACATTGTGGGATCATATGGGAGAGGTATAGTAATTCTGAATTGAAGCTGAACTTACTGATTTCTTTCAATTTGTACGACAGCATAATTTCTTAAAGCATCCTCAATAATTAAATCAAACTGACCTGATTTTATTGACAGAACGACTTTAAATTAAACTATTAAAAATTGGAAAAGAAAGAATGGGAGAGGACACTAATCTGATCATGATAGAAAGTTGAAAGTTTGCATGGGTGAAATGTTTTGTCGTAAGTTACTGTGTAAATTACAAAAGATTTCCAAAATCAACTCTGATTGCATAGTTAATTTGAGTACAATTGAGATTCATTTGTGGCCAACATTTAGGAATCATCAATTTTTCTTCATTTTAAGCCACATATATTTGATTCGAAATTTGAAAGGAAAAGCGGAACCATTTTTTTTTTGCGGAAAAGCTGCACCGATCGAGTATTTCAGCACTCTTCCTAATCGCGTCTAAATATTCTATGGCTAAAATCTTAGCATCCTATATTATCTTTATTTTATAACAGTCCAGAAGTGGCTCTTAATCATTAAATTAATCGTGTGAAAAGCAATTGTCCTCAATTCTTTTGAACTTCCTCACATCAACTCATCGCAAAAATCAAACCGTTTTTACTTTTTCGGTTCCAACTTCCTTTGCATTGCATCCAATTTACATTGTTTATCAGTTGTTTATCAGTCCTAACATTATAGTCATATTTTTATTAGCAACTTTGTCAAAATACTTCTTTGGCCGAATATTTTTTAGATAACCACCAACTGATCATAATTTAATAATTGCGCAACTTCTTAAATAGTATTTCATGACTAAAACTAGAACAGATAAAGTTAAAGTAAGAAATTAGAATTGTTTGGGCAATATTTACGCCTTTCGATTTTTTGATATAAATATCGGAAGATTCACTTTGATAATTTGTCTGTTCTGCCCAAGTTCTTAAGTAATTTTGAAGCGTTTATATCTACTCAGTTATCCCACGTTTACTTTTGTTTTAGTTACAGCGATCTCTTTATCTAACCATAACCATTCTTTTATTCTTAAATTTCAACTCGCCTATGTACCTATATATTAGATGACGATATACTAAACCAATGCATAAGTTTCAGCAAACTTTCACTTATGCATTTGCTTTTGTATCGTTATTTTTGCCTTTCGATCACCTGCTACATGTTCACGTTTCTCGATAAAGGATCCGTTCTTCATCGGAAATATTAGTTGAAGAGATACAATACAATTACTGAATGATTTACACATTTTTGAGACTCAATGAAGCAGCATAAGTTCCAATAAACTTTCACTTACTGCTTTCAATAATAAAGTTATGTAAAATTAAACTGGAAACAAAAAAAAGGTCGAAAAATGAAATGGGGTCATTTGTAGTAGCCAATAAACTGTAACAGATTTCAGTTATGTCGGAGCATTTATTTATCAGATGCAAATGAACATAAGGATGAACAAGCACACTAACTTTGTGCAAGAATTAAGATCAAAATTATTATTAAAATCGACTTCCCCGAAAACAAACATTTTTTTTCTTCTAACGATTTTTCTTTTTGTTTAAATTTAGTTAATTAGAATTGAGTGCAAATAACTTGCTATCAACTCCTTGTTCTTGAAAAAATAACGCTTAGAAAGTGGGGAATAAATTAACAAGGAAAGAAACTTGATGCTTCTTGCTAGCATATAAAATATTCTGAAAATTTTGTTGATGTATGTTTCATACTACCATGTAGTGTAACAGCTGCTGTTTGTTCAGATTGAAATATCCGTTGACCATCCTTCCGCTAATCATGCTCTGGACAAGCCATTGTGCATCTAAAAGTGAAAAAATTTCTACTTTTTTAACATGTTAACTTCTGGACACCTTAATTTTTAATCGTTGAAAATTTTTAGCAAAAATACACTGTAGAAATTACTTCTTTCACAACAGATTTTTGAACGCTAAACAAACAGGAACGCCTCAAGAATCTTTAGGAATACATAATCCTCAAAGATTTCTTT